CTTCTTCTTCAGAGTACTTTAGCTATTATGTTTCCTTCTTTCCCATTCAAATTTTGTAATGAGCTTATCAAAACTGCCCCACCCCATCCCCCAAAAATGCTGTTGGAATTTTAATTGGAATTGCCTTCAATCTATAGGCCAATATGGGAAACACTGACACTTTTACAATAGCCTTCTTAATCCCTGAACACAGTATACATTTCCATTTAGTTAAGTCATCTTTAATGTCTTTTGGAAGAGCACATATAGACTGTACTACAGTTTAGATAAGTGAAAAGGCCATTTATTTTGGATAATAAATGATGTTCTCTTTATATGTCCTTGTTTCTCTAAGTTTTATTACTACAACATGAGCAGTGATACTCAATGACAGTATCTTAAGGATTAAGGAAATGGTTTCAAAATTTGCTGAAGCTATAGTTCACATTTAGTTTGACCTCTCCTACCAATCCACAGCCACTTTTACTTTTCCAAGGATCTCACAAGCAGTAATATGTAATCACTTCCCATAGTAAACAACTAATTCAAGCTACACAAAAACTGCAAACTAAGTTAACCTTCTAAGGCTCAATCCAACTGTATCCAAAAGTTAGAAATTAAAATTTATTGCCAAAATTTATAAACATATCACAAAAAGGAAATACCAATAATCCTTAATTCTTAAACATATGAAAATAAACATCAACTGTGATTGTTAAAGAAAGGCAAACTGAAACCATTAGGACCACAACACACATACACACACATGTATTTTATATATATATATATATATATTTTTTTTTTTAACTTCATACTCAAAAGACAGAGACAGTCCTGACTCTGCGGTCAGGGGAGAGGGAAGTACAGATTTATTTGTCACCATTATACCATTTTCATTACTGAAAATTGGTAGAATAAAAGAATTAAATGTTTACCCTTATTAATAATGTAGTAAAAGCCATGTTTTAGTAAATCAAGTACATTTCAAGAAAAAAAATTTTTAAGAAACTTATGAAAAGAAAACATGTTTTATATAACGTAATTCATGAAAGCTCTTCTTTAGAGAAGAATTCCAGTTAATAAATGTACAAGAAATGACCAAATGAGAAACAGCATTTTCTAATTTTTTATAAAATAGGTGATTCAGGCCAAAATTATCAATGGATGCTAAAACATACTCAAACTTCTGATCAATCTTAGCATAACGGATATAAAACCATGTATTTTCTGTATCCTAATGTAATACATTATAAGGTACATAGCACCACTTATGAAATAACCTTACTAAAAATGTTTAACCCAAATTTTATCAAGACTTTCAATATGACGTCCAGTCTACAGAAAACACAGTAAATAAAAAAAAAACAAAATACGGGGGGTATAACTCAGGGGTAGAGCATCTGACTGCAAGAAAGCAAACTATGAGAAGCAACCAGGTAAATTTAGAGGGTGGAACTGACCCAGTTTGTTAAAAAAAAAAAATTGCATGGGGAAAAAACAGTGGCAGGAGTTGGAAGTGCATAACTCTATTCGAGACTAAAGACATTAAAGAAATATAACCACAAAATGCATTGTATACACCTTACTTAGTTCCTAATTGTAACAAATGAACTACAAAACTAGGGAAATTTTAAAATGGACTGACTGGGAATTATTGTTAACTTTATAAGGTGTGATAATGGTACTACAGTTATAAAAAAAATGCCCTTATTTTAATTTACTTCAAAATACTTTTCAAATAATAGATGAAGTAAATATGGAAATAATCCAAATGTCTATAAATTGATAAATGAATAAACAAAATGTGGCATGTTCATACAAAGGAATCTCAGAAATAAAAAGGAATGAAAGACTGATAAATGCTACAACATAACATATTCACAGATTTCAGGGACTTGGACAGAGGTATCTTTGGGGGGCCATGATTCAGGATATCACAAAATAAATAAAAGTGTCAAAAATAAATAAATAAAAGTGCTTAAAATCAAGATACCAAGTAATTAGGAATTCAATATTCTAGTCATCCTATGTGATTATGTCTGTCAGTTTTTATAATAAAGAGTTAAAAATGAGATATTGGTTTTCACCTATCAAATTGGCAAAACTGTATCAAACTGACAAAGGTGTGGGGAAGCACCTTCTCATACGTTGCTGGCAGGAGTGTAACTTCGTACAACTTCCATGGAGCACAGTTTGGCAGTATCTACCAAAATTACAAATGCACATACACTTTGACCCAGAAATTCTACTTTGAGGACTATACTAGAGATGTGTTTGGATGCATGAGAAATTATGTATGCAGCATTATCTGTTATAACAAAAGATTGGAAACAATCTAAATGTCCACCAATATATTTATTATTATTCAATTATTTTATTTTGGCAGGGGTGGGGAGGTAATTAGGTTTATTTATTTTTGGAGGAGGTACTAGGGATTGAACCCAGGACCTTGTGCATGCTAGGTATGCACTCAACCACTTGAGCTATACCCTCCCCCTAAATGTCCACCAATTTAAAAACTGATTTAATATAATCTATGGATACTTGGCAGTGATTTGAAAGAATAAGACAGTTGCATATATGCATGCATATATATAACACACATATATATATATATATATTTTACTAAAATGTGGGGGAAAAAGCAATGGACAGCAAGCAAAAAAGAAAAAGCAGGGTAAATGTAGTACACTAGCACTGTGTTTAAATGGTTCTGTAAAACTACATGAGACATATGGTTGCACTGTCTCTAGAAGGATTCCAAAGAAACTGCTACCAGAAATCATCCTGGGAAGAGAGGTGGCTGAATGGACGAAAGGAAAGAGAAAAACTTATTTCCTACTTCTCATACCTTTTGGATTTTCCACTGGTACATGCACAACAGAAGAATGGACAGTTAGAACATTAAAATAAATTTTTATAAAAAATCAGCATACCACACAAGTTTATGTGGCCCTCTATACAAATTTTCAATCTCCAAGTAATATCTTACCTGCTAGTTGGCGTAGGGAAAGAAAAAGAGAGAAGCTGATTCCAGAACGGGTCATTCTCAGAGACAGATTCTGTGCCTGATAACTTTTTTAAGTATTCATTTTTAGGAAGATCACCAATTCTGCTGCTGTTCGATCCCATCTTCTAATCTGGTAGATAACTTGTCCTTAAACCTTCATTTCCACAAGACAACCTACAAAGAATGAAAAGAAATTTAAACTTGTTCAAAATCATCACTATACTCTCCCCACCCTTGACCTACATGTAAGAAACTCAAAACTTACTATAGGAAATCACACTTCTATTTTTGAACATATTAGACATCAGAAACAAAGTTACACGGGGGAAAATGGGGCTAAAATCTGTTTTAGCCAACTGAAACACAAAATCCAAATCTATACTTGTACATCTTAGAATGGTCACACCTCTGCCCAAGAAAATGTCTCAAAGCAAATTCATAACAATGATAACTTAGTAACAAACAGTCTGAAAATGAAGCTCCTTTACAACTAAAACAATGGTACTAAAGAAATAAAGACTGGACTGCTTGAAATGTGCTGAGAAGGGGAGAAAGTTGTGCAAGTAATTACCATGTGCTCCTTACACTTGAGAGAATGAGGACCTGGTTAAAGTGAAAGGGCTCCCAATTCCAAAGGAGTCACATTCAGTGCCTCTCTCATTCTACTATAATGCATATACACTTTTTTGCTGGCACGTCTGTTCTCCTAAACAATGAGACGTTGGTTTGTTTTGTTTTGTTTTGAAATAAGAACTATCTTATTCATCTTTCCATCTCCAACGTCTAGACTAGCATGTAACAGGCATTGCCTAAATAGAATGTTGAAAAAATGAGTGTAAATAAACTGTTAGTGTCTTCGGTATTTGTTGTGCTTGATTACTAAAGGGAAAAACATTCAGTTACAAAATGAACCAGAGTCTTCATCAAATTGCACTTAACACAGTCTGAGATCTTGTTCTACCTCAACTTGTTTAGAATAAGTCTCTCATTGACAATAAAATGGTGAATACTAAACTACCCTAAGTTAAAATTACCATCACAATGAAATGAAACTGTGAGTTCAGGGGCTAAAGGAAGCTCAGGTTAGATGAGAATTTACATTAGTAGTGACTGACTTTCTTACTTATGTCCCTCATTCCACAAAGACAGTGAAGCCAAGATCAGAATTTGGAAGCATGTCTGGAGCGTTCTCTTTGGAACTCTGGGACTGGTTTAAGCTGCTTATCTAAGGACATGAGGCTTCCCCATATACATGGACAGCTGGGTCCTCTGAATGTGAGTAATCTGGCTTCTAACCACCTGCCCCCGAACTCAAGGCCACATACTACTTTCCTCCTCTTTAAACATGGTGACAGAGACCCCAAAACTAGCTGACTCTGACTTAGCCTCCACATCAAGCCAGCTAATCATAACTCTAGATTTAATGTTTTAATAAAATTTCTTAATTATTGAGCCTAATTAGAAAATGCTATAAAGAAATATTCTGAAATACTAAAGTCTTTACCTGACATACCCTGTTTCAAAACTACTTTATGCATTTTAAGCATTTAAAGTTAAGTTTTTTAATATCTTTACAATACACAAGTGAAAATGAATTAACTAGAGCTACAATTACCAACATGGACAAATCTCAAAAATATAATTTTTTTAAAAAAAGAAAGCTACAGTATAATAAGACATGGTATGATTTCATTTATGATCTTTAATGTGCAAACAATGTTAAGGATTTATTCATAGTGAGTACAAGTATTAAAACACATATGGGAAAAAACACCCTGTAAATTCAGAAAAATGCTCTTATATAATGTTATCAGGAGAGGAACAGAGGGGCTTCAGCAGTATCAATAAATACCTTCTTAAACAGAAAAGAGAAAGAAATTGAAAGAATGAGAAGAAGTACATGTTCAGATTTGCTGACAATGGGCAATCGATGCATGAGTCTTCATTACATTACCCTCTGTTTGTCTGCTTTATATATTAATTTTTAAAAAGAAAAGAATGGTTTCTTAATCTCTCAGAAGCAATACTGGAAACTAGATGACAGGGAAGCAAAATCTTTAAAATATTAAGAAAAAACAATTTAACTAGACGTGTATAGTCAAGATGCCAGTTAAGTATGAAGATAGACTAATGATATTTTTAGATTTGCCAAGACTCAAAAAAACATGTATCCATATTCAGGAAGGTACTGGAAGATGTACTGTTTCAATATGAGGGAATAAACCAAGAAAAATGAACACATGGACTTCAGAAAACAGGATTCAACACAAGATAGTGGTAAAGAGCAGTCGCAGGACAAGAGCTGTGTAGCAGCTGGGACAAGAATCAAGATGGTCCAATGACCTCCTGGGGAAGAAAACACAGAGCTGACAGGTCACCTGATGTGTCTGACCTTATTCTGCGGAGTGCTGAAATACTGCACAATATGGACGGAAGGAATGATGGTTACAAAGGACATGTACTATGGAAAAACAAAAACTGTTCAAGAAAGATCATGTAGTCATAGTACATGACTCATTTCAAAGGTTACCAATAATTACGTAATCACTGTAATATAAATACTAAATAAAGACTTAACCAAAAATGGTAAAGTAACTATATTAGGAGGATGCTAGAAAAAGAAGTAGGAGTGGGGCTTAAGAGTGTGATATCTTCATCTTCCACAACAGGTAGGAAGTCAATCTTAGAAAATATCTAAAATTACTAAATTAGAAAATAACAGTAAAAAGCATATTAGTTATAAATAAGGAAGTAAATAACGAGAAGCAACAGCTCAGAGATTTGAGAGTGGCCACCTTTGGGGGAAAGGACACTGGAATGGGGAGGGTGGAAGGACAGTTTTTTCATCTTAGTTTAAAAAAAATCAAATAATATGATGGATCTATGTCCACTTATTATGATTTTAAAAATTAAACACCTTTTAATCTCCATCATTACATTTCCTACTCAAATTTAAATTTTTTACATATATGGAAAACACAGTTATCACCATAACTAAAATAATAGTAACAAAAGTGTAAATTATTCTTCCCTAAGGCACACAACTAGCAAACTTCAGAAAATCTATTTGTCTAATACAGTTTAATGTTATAATAAAAATTACTAAAGTTGATTATCTCCCAAGATCTAAATTTCAAATTTCCACCACTGTATGTGTTTACTGACAATAATCCAAGCTTAATCAGAAAAGAGAACAAATTCAAACACGCTGTAGTGACAGACACATACAGCAGTAAAACAAAATAGAAAACCCAGAAATGAATCCACAAAAGTACAGTCAACTCGTTTTTGTCAACAAGGCAAAAGCAGTTCAAAGAAGAAGGACAGTTTTTTCAGCAAATGTTGCTGGAACAACTGGACATCAATAGGCTCCCTGCCCTCCCACAAAAAAAGCACTTTGACCTAAACTTTTTATGTTATACAAAAGTTAACTCAAAATGGATCATAGATCAAATGTAAAACATAAAAGTATAAAATTTTTAGATGAGAACACAGGAGACATCTGTGACCGGGAGTTAGGGAGCACTTAAGACATTATACAAAAGCACAACCCATAAAAGAAAAAGCCAATAAATCGAGCTTCATCAAAATTTAAAGCTTTTGGTCTGTGAATGACCCTGTTAAGAGGATGAAAAGATAAGCCACAGACTTGGAGAAAATAGCTGGAAGTCACATATCCAACAAAGGACTTGAAACCAATATATAAAGAACTCTCTAAACTCAACAGTAAGAAAACAATCCAATTAGAAAATATACAAAAGATTTGAATATTGCATGATTTTTACGACTGTGTCACCAAAGAAGACAGCAAATAAATAAATACATTAAAAGACATTACAACATCATTATTAGCCATTAGGAAACTGCAAAATAAGACTACCATGACGTACACATCCACTAGAATGGCTAAAATAAAAAATACTAACAGTACCAATGCTGCCAAGGATGTAGAGAAATTGAATCTCTCACATGTTGCTGGTAGAAATGTAAAATGGAACAGCCATTCTGTTAAGTGGTTTAGCAGTTTCATATAAATATATACATACTATTCAACCCAGGAATGGCACTCCTGGATTATGATCCTAGAGAAATGAAAATTTAAGTTCACACAAAAACCTACACACAAATGCTTATGAAAGCCTTACTGGGAATAGCAAAAAACTGGAAACAACCCAAATGTTCTTTCAACACATGAATGAATAAGTAAACTATAGTACATCCACAGAATGGAGTAAAAAGAAGGAACTATTTGATATACTCAATAACTTGAACAGATCTCAAGGGTATTGTGGTAAGAGGAAAAAAAAGGGTTCCAAACTCAAAATAATAGCAACAACATATTTGATGATTATAGATTATGTATCAGTGAAAGGAACCAAGGCAACTGTACAAGGAACAGAAGGGAGGAATTAGGAACACTTTGTTATTTAGGCACTTGTACTACCTGTGACGTGCACCACTAGTCAAACAGTATGGTGTTATTTGAAAGTAAACTTGGATTAGTTGAAAATGTATATTGCAAACACTAGGGCAACCACTTTATTAAGTTTTTTTCTTTTTCAACAAGTATAACTGGTAACACTAGGAAAGGAGAAAAGATGGAATCCCATAGAGTAGAAGACAAAATACGAATGAAAACAAGGACAATGAATAGAAAATAGTAACAAATATGGTAGATAGTAATCCAACTTTATTGATAATTACTTTGAACATCAATGGTCTAAATATATCAATTAAAAGACAGATTGTCAGAGAAGATCAAACAACAAGACCCAACTATATGTTGTCTACAAGAAACCCATTTAAATTTGAAAAGATACACATAAACTCAAAGTAAAAAGATAGAGAAAGATATGCCATGTCAACATTAATCAAAAGAAAGCAGGAAGAGTTACATTAATTTCAGAGCGAGGAAACTTATCAAGGATAAAGGAGGGCATTACATAAGTATAAGGGAGTCAATTCTCCAAGAAGACATAACAATCCATAATGTGTATTCATCTAACAACAGAGCATCAAAATATGTGAAGCAAAAATCAATAGGGGGAAGGGTATAGCTCAAGTGGAAGAGCACATGCTTAGCATGCACGAGGTCCTGGGTTCAATCCCCAGTACCTCCACTGAATAAATAAATAAATAAACAAACCTAATTACCCACTCTGCAAAAAGAAAAA